GATGGAGGTGGTGGGAGACAGGAGGATGATAGCTAAGCTCTTTTGTGACACCAATCCTGGAACTTTTCTGACACACCTCGTATATATTTTGGTCTGTTTTTATTTTTATATCTACATTCCCTAAATGTTTGGTAGCACTATAAGCAATAAATAAAATCCCGCCGGGAGGCTGACGGCGGACAGGACTGAGGCCCTCAGGTGGTTGGGCTGGAGGCTGGTGATGGAACCCATAGGAAGGCCAGATACAGATGTGACGGGGACTCTTGGGTGGTCGGACTGGAGACCAGCAACGGATGAGACGGACACCTTTGGGTGGTCGGGTTGGGGGCCGGTGATGAACGACACAGGAACCCTCAGAAGGCTGGCGACGAAGGAGATGGATTCCCTCGAGAGTCCAGACTAGGGACTGGCGTCAAAAGAGGCGGAGCCCCTTTGGAGGCCGGCAACGAAGAAACCAAGTTACAGAAGCTGAAAGGGGGCAGACGGGCTGGGGGAATCCAGGATCTGGTGAGGGTTGGGAAGAAGCTGGAACAAGGCTGGGGACAGGTACAGGCTGGCTCGGGGAATGCAGGCAGGAAACAGGTTGGGGATCAGAGACGGGAGAAGACTGGTTGAGGGGTGCAGGCTGGAAGCAGACTGGAGAGCAGTGGCAGGAGAAGGCTGGCTGGGGGAGGATCAGGGTGGAGAGTGTGTTGCTGATGCAGGGGGTCCAGGTGGCAGAGGCTCAGGAGAGGCAGACAGGAGACAGAGCAGGGACTGGCAGAAACATGAAGGTCTATGGTCTGGCGGTGTGTGGACGAATGAGCTGAGCTTTATAGCAGGAGGTGGATAATTGAGTGCCGATGAGCCGATCCCCACAGCTGTCTCCAATACCTGCAATCAGACAGGCTGAGCAGGACTGGGGTGACTGGGAGTGAACAAGGAGGAGAGAGAGGCAGAGAGAAGAGAGGGAGACAGTCAAGGGCTGGGGGGTCATGAACTGGACAGTGTTGCCTTGATCCTAATAAATGTCAGACACGTGAATGCTTTAAAGGAAAATGTGACAAGACACACAGAGAGATCTGAGCCTTAACTTTTTGTTGTTGAAGACAATGGCTGGGTGTAGCTCTGTGATTGATTTACATTCATGACCTTTCCAGCAGATAAACCAAAACAATACAGTGTCCTGCTCTGCTCCAGCCTCATGAGGTGTACCATGAATAAAAAGGTAATTCCTACGTGTTTTCTTCAATAACGGTGGAACAGGAGGTTTGCCTCATGGATGTGCAGCCAACAAATTTGCAGTAACTACATGAAGCTGCCATGTGGATCAAAATCTGTGAAGAATGTTTCCAGCATCTTGTTTTATTGATGCCACAAAGAATTAAGACAGTTCTGAAGACAAAAGAGGGTCCAGCCCTGTACAACAAGGTGGCTTCCTCCCACACAGTCCAGAAACATGTCAAGGCTAATTGGTGATTCTAAATCAGGGGTGTCCAATCCTGGTCCTCGAGGGCCACAATCCTGCATGTTTTAGATGTTTCCCTCTTCCAACACACCTGATTCAAATAATCACCGCATCATCAAGCTCTGCAGACGCCTGATAACGATCCTGATCATGTGAATCAGGTGTGATGGAGGGAAACATCTGAAACATGCAGGACTGTGGCCCTCGAGGACCAGGATTGGACACCCCTGTTCTAAATTGTTCGTAGGTGTGAATGTGAGTGTGCTTGGTTGTCTGTCTCTAAGTGTAGCCCTGTGATAGACTGGTTACCTGTCCAGGTGAACCTGCCTTCACCCTGAGTCAGCTGGGATAGACTCCAGCCCCCCATGACCCTAGTGAGGATTAAGGTGTATAGATGATGGATGGATTAATCTCCCCTAAATCTGACTAAACAATATTCAAATACACTAGATGTCACAGTAAGTAAGCTGGTTTGTACACTAGCAAATTAAAGCAAATTAAATTTGTGTTTAATTTTGTTTGTTTGATTTTTAATTTCTTTTTTTTAATTTTTTTTTATTGAAGAACATCTGACTTCATTGCCACCACCTATTGTGACTGTCTGAAGTTCTGCAGTTGAGTTTAAAAGGAATTCATTCTGTGTATTTAGAAATATGACACCAGGCCAGTTTAATCACAAGTCAAAGTGCAATATTTGCAACATGCACAATTGCACACAGTTGGAACATTTCAGGAATCATCAATGGCATTGTAGGAATACATTTTGGGAACGTTACACACAATTACAACAGGTACTTGTACATATTAAATTGAACAAACAAGTTTATTGCTACCACGTTGCAAAAAAAATCTTTGCAGAGTGAGTAAAATACATATTTAGGTAGAACAGACCTATTAGATGTTTATTAATAAGACTACCTCTCTAATATGTAACAATATTAATAAATTAAACATTTATTCCAATTATTATATCAATATACCTTTACATTTTCAATTTTATGTCAAGAAAACTTTAAAAGCTTTATGCTTAAGACTGAGCATTTAGCTCATTTAGTCACTAAGTCAAAGGTTTTACCTTAAATTTTATACACTAGAGTTTTTTTTTCTCGTTGTCTTCAGTTATATTTTTAATGAAGTGCTCCTATCTTTCAGCTTCTAAACAGGAAGTGTGAGTTTTGCCAGATAATCATAGACTTATAATTGACCCTGTGCCCTGCAATGAAAGCTGTATAGCTGAGGTATTGAATTAAGTTATGAGTGTCCCCGCTATGTGGGTTAAAGCTGCATGACAAACAATCACACGCAGGCCGAGGCTTGGCCCTCCATGTGGTTAAAACACAAAGCACAGAACAACATATAAAAAATCCTGCTTTACTTCTACACTAATGCACATCGTACAGACCTGGTCATAATTAACTAAATCAATACTTTTTTTCTCCTGTAAAATGACTACATGCACAAACACCGTGTCACGTCTGTCCTTCGCCTCCCGCTTCAGCGCTGTGAGCTGTGGAGGAGTTTCTGCAGCGAGCTGGTTCAGGCTCTCAGTTGAACGCTGGATTGCGGACTCCAGACAGGGTGCTGACAGGAGCGCTCTTCCCTTTGAGGAGGGTGAGGGAGAAGATGAAGAAGCAAACGCTCATGACGCCCAGAATGATCACGCCTGAGATGAGCGCGCTTGTCACTGTGTTCATCTGAAACACTGGAGTTTTCAGATGGGCTAAAGCAGCACAAACACAAAGAAGCAGTTCAGAACCATTTGTATTCGTGCCGTCTTTTCAATACTTGCTCCTAAAATCATACAAAGTAAAGACAATATCCATCGTACTGAAGCCACTACGGGTGGTGTACAATGTATTTGATGGGTTTATTTCTTTCATTCTTGAGAAATATTACACAGCTTTCAATGTCGTGGAGAAACATTTCCAGCTTACAGCACAGACAGCAAGTTCTTCACTGACCTTAGTCAGATACACAAGAATATAACAAAGCCACAATGTGTGCAGCTTCTGGAGCACATAAACTTTCCTTTTTTCTCAACTGAAATAACTATTCGATTCAGTTCAATTCAGTTTTATTTATACAGAACCAATTCACAAAACAAGTCATCTCAGGGCACCTTACAGTCTTATAGAGAGAAACCAGACACATTTAAATAAGTACCCTCTGTGCTCCTACTGTATAAGACGGCAATCAGATTCTCTTATGGGGAGTTTTCAATCATCATTCTGTGTTGTGTTGCAAAATAAGTCATTTAACTTAAAAAAGGCAGACTGATGGAGGAAGGGCAGTTAACTTATATCAGAGCATTAGGAGATATGATACAGTAGAAGAGAATAGGAGACATTTTTTCCTAAATTTGAAAATCTGCAGGTTTTTTTTTTTTTTTTTTTTAATTATTATTATTTTTGAAATCATACTTCTCTTGGTACAACACCAACACATTCTGTGACTGATACAATACATATTTTTCTACATACATTAGAACATATGCTCTTTTGTTAATACTCTACTTACATACAATCTGTGCAATATTAATACTCTCGGTGTTTCCACTCATCAAAAATCAGTGCAGTTCCACTAGTATGTGCAATAATGCTATTTTTTAGAACTAGTGCTTACATATTTTGGTCTGTATATATTTTGTGCACTACGTTCTTTTAATGTTTGCGCTGTCTTTGCTGCTGTAACGCTGCAAATTTCCCCACAGAGGGACTAATAAAGTCTTATTTTATCTTATCTTATCTTGAAAGTGTCATTCCAGACAATATAAAAGTGTGTGATGGCTTACCCAGCTGAGAGTTGTTGGTTGGTGTTTCATCTGTGAAAGAAAGAGTAAAGGACGGTTCAGGGTAACAACTATTCATCAGAGTCGGTACAGTCCAATGTGTTCATATCCAGTACACGGCCTGGGACAACAGTATGTCTGACTGGTCATTTCTAACTATCAGTCAACATACCAGTGTCAGATCTCAAGTTTGACTCACTCTGGTACCATTTAGTATGTCCAGAATTATTGCAGAATTAAACAGTCGGTGCAACTGTTGTTGTTACAGCAAAGGAGAAGAAATGAAAGAAGCCTTTATGGAGCTGCGTTATGTTATAAGGTGTTGTGTTCCAGTTGAGGAAACTGCACTCCTCAGACAGGAAAAGGAGGTTGTTTGGTGGGAAACACACTCTGAGGAAAAGGAATAACAAGAGGAGGTAATCAAACTCTACCACTCCGAGTGATGATCGGTCCAGCAGTCAGAACGGCGTTTCCTGATGCACCATTTGATTCCTTTCCTTCAGCAACATCTCTCTTTTTCCTGCTGCCACAGATCTATGGAAAAAGAAAAGAAAAAAGGTAGAGAAAGTTAATGTGGCACAATGAGATCCCTTTAATGTGTTCTCACGTTCTCACCATCTGGTATTTAGGAGAAACATACTGCATGTCCAACATGATTCATTAACGTCGTCTGGATGTGTCTCCTGGTGATTTGAAGAATTCTTCTACATGTGTTGTCCTCCGTGTTTATTTAAGTTTGATATTTTAACTAAGTAGATATGGGTGATGGAACAGTCCAGTGACTTTCTGAGAAGTATGTGGACTGACTGTGCTGACCACATTTATAGATTCCAAAATGCCATTAGCTACAGTCACTTAGGTGCGAATGAAACACAGCTTGGAAATGTGAGCAGGAATATAAATGGCCTGCACTCTAGCAACTAGGACTGACATTCTTCCACAAGTTGTTAGTCTGAAGGCAGTCACATTGTTATGACCCAGGTGTGTAAATGTAATTTGACCTTTCATTAATTGTCATGAGTTCCAACTACATTTAAATCAATTTTGAGAATTAGACACCGATTAACAGTGTTAGTGGAATCAGCATTATTTAGGTCTTTTAAATGAGTAAACCTGTGTATAATACTCCAGTACAACTTAAAGTCCTGCATGCCGATCACCACCGAATAAAAGTGCAGAAGCATTAACAGAAAAAAAACAATGCAGAATGATGCAGTGTCAAAGTTCATCTCACAATGATATCTGTGTCATATGAACAATGTAACACGTTTTTATTTATGCATCATTCCACCTCCTCATATTGCCCCTGCTCAAACTGCAGATGGATGGACACCCACTAGGGTTTTGGTGCTTGGCTGTGGTGGAAAGAAAGAAGTAATTTAGTCCTAGAAAGCCTGTTTTGAGAGATGCCCACCTGATTAGACGAACAGAGATTGTTGAAGCCTCAAACTACTTTTAGCTACAATTTGGAAAGTATTTTTTTCACCAAAAAAAAAAAACAAACAAAAAAAACTTAAGTTCCACCCATATATACTGAAACTACTGTAAGAAGGGATCTGCTCAGGGCCAGTACGAACAGGAGGAATGATTACAGCAAGCAGAACGTGTTTATAATGTTTGTATGGACACCTGCCATAGATGTTAGATGGACTTGAAGCTAATCCTGATGTATGAGAGAGAGCAAGTAAATCCACCTGAAATATGCTGAAACATCAAGTGTCTCCAGCATGTTTCCCTCGTGAAATGAAGCTGGAAATGGGTTAAGTGTTTGTCATGTGTCTGTGTGTAAGTGCCCTGCTTTAGTCTCACTGGCATGAGCATCGGACAGTCGTCGGCTCGACACAGCTTGGTGACGCAGTGCAGGAAGACGGTGGACATCTTCTGGTTCTTGTGCTTTACAAAGCGGAATACTTCAAAGGCAAAGCGACCCATTTGGCTCTTTCCATTCTCAAAGACAGTGGTCTGAGGATCTTTTTCACAGCTGGCCCAGGAAAGTAAATTTGGACAGAATTATTAGAGAGAAAAACAAATAAAACAAAAATCAGTGATTAGATTTAAAATTGGAGTTACCTAAAGAAGAGATCGTAGCGGAGGTCATCGTTAGGGTTTCCAGATGGTGTGGTGTAACAGTAGTCCATTAGAACATTCCATCTATTCAACATTAAAAATGATTGAATCCAGAGCTCTGGGATTTAAATGCAAATGGTTTACGTAGACGTGGAGAACTGCTAGGACACCGTTACTCATCTCTCCTTCTACAGGTGCTGTCAGTACAAATATGATGCTACATCACAGTTCTACCCTCAGGGAAATCCAGTTATGTACTTTATATACTACAAATTCTTTTTGTAGGGAAGTGTAATTTCTGTCTACAACACGTACACCAGTAACATGTAGGAAGCATGACAAAGCAGTGTACATACACAACATTACCCTAATCCTAATAACATTGGCAATATTGTTATAATGCAATGCATTGCTGGGAAACCCATGGCCTGCCATCTTTGTGGATGCTACTTTGACACACAGGCATGGGAAAAAATTACTAGACTACCCTTGTTTTCTTCAATTTCTTGTTCATTTTAATGCCTGGTGCTTTTAGGAATTCCATGTTTTCTTTTCTGTCTGTTTTAGTCACATGATGCACACAGGAGTTAGTACTTGATGCATAACCCTTGTTTCTGATGACTGCAGCCATGCGTCTTGGCTGCTCTCCACCAGATTCTGACATTGTTCTGCTGTCACAGCAGCCCATTCCTGTTGCACAAATTCAAACAAATTTGCTTTGTTTTTGGTCTTGTGGTTCTCCATTCTGCATTTGATGATTTTCCACAGGTTTTCAATTGGATGTAGATCTGGTGATTGAGCAGGCCAAGGCATGGTTCCAGTATTCTGGTTCTCCATCCAGGCTTTAACTGACCTTGCCATGTGGCAAGAGGTTTGTCTTGTTGGAAAATCCAGTCATTGGAGGCAAGAAAGAGTTTTCCAGCTGATGGAAGAAAACTGTTTTCAAGACTAGCCCTGTACATGACCTGCTTTATTCACCCTTCACACAATTTCATTTGCCCTGTTCCACCCATCCTGAAACAAGCCCAGATGGTCACTGATCATCATCTTCCCCCTGATGGTTTGTAGACGATAGTTTGGTTCCTTCCCACCGTTTGTCCTTCTTTTAATTTTTTTCAGAGTTGATAATGTAGTGCTACTAATTAAAAAACATAATTAATGAATCATTGGGTCTTGCAGTAAGTATAGCTGTTGGGATGCTGCAAATAATTTATGTGAACCTCGGGAGGAGCATCAACTGATAAATACAGCAGTCAATGGGGAGCAAAAGAAACAAATAAATATAGTGTAGAACAGGAGTGACTGCACCCCTGTGTGATATCTCCTAAAAGTCAAATCCTTCAACAAAAAAAGAAAAAAAAAAGAAACTGTATGTAGCCAATTTAGCCAAAATTCTTGACAACACAAGTACTGCGTTTTGTCCGATGAGCAATCAAAAAGAAATACTCTAGAAACAGTATACTAAAAATACAGGCCCCAAAGTAGAAAATCAGTGTAACAAAAAGACGTGTGGTCACTGAAACTTAACTGAGCACATCTGTGATTTCCAATTAGTCTACCAACATACACATGGTTTTAAATGACCTGTAAACTGGGCTGTATCCATCTACATGTCTGCATCATTGCCTCACATGCAAAAGAATTGTCAGAGGAATGAAAACAGATGATTGTGGGGCGAGCTGAGTAGGCGACCCACAAACAGGCTATAGTTCCCCAACGCAGCAGTCGTGGGTTTGACTCCCGCTCATGACCCTTTGGTCTCTCCCCGTTCTTCTCCCCCCTTTCCTGTCTATCTCCACTGCCCTAAATAAAGGCAAAAAAGCCCCAAAAATATATTTTAAAAACATGATGGTGAGAAAAAGGACACAAGGATTGAATGCTTCAGCTGTGCTTCTACTGAGAATCAGCTGAAGTGCAGTTACAGTAGTAATGAGGAGGTACAGGATGAGCTATAATGCCACTAATCAGAGCTGCTGCAGCCAGCCTCTTAAGACGACACTGCAGAGAGTGAACTGTTTGCACAACCTTGCTCTCAGTAGTCTGAGTTTCAATGACAACTCAGATGCTGTGTATAATCAGTCTATGGATGGTGTCCAAGAAAAAAAAAAAACATCTTGCTTGCTCTTTGGCACAAAATTGCAACATGATACTTTGCTAAAGAACAAGATAAGAAACCAGATAACCAAGATATGTTCGGCCTGAACCTCACCACGACTACCACAGTGAATGCATCGTCCTGAGAGTCAAGCACAGAGCTGGAGATGTGATGGCATGAGGCTGCATGAGTGCAAAAGGCTGACAAGATGATTCCAAGTCTGCAGAACTTCTGCAGAAGAGGAATCTTCCAGCATGAACTATCAACAAAAGAAAATGTGACAACGATGATGAGCTATGTCACCTGACGTACATCTGATTAAACCCTTTTGGGATATTTCAAAAAGAAGAGCAGAGTAACGCCAGTCCTCCACCAAAGAGCAGCTCGGAAACACAGTCCTGAGAATAGCAGAACATCTCTCCAGATGTTTGTGTAAAACTGCTGTCCTCTGTTCTGAGGAGGACTTAGTCTGTCATCTGTCCTACTGTGGGACCTGTATTTATAATATAATTAATCTAAACTGTTCAAAACTGTTTTTAAATTTACAGAGAAGCCAAAACCCTACTGGTCAACTTGTTTCATTACCGTTTAACAACTGATACAAATGTTCATTTGGTTTTGAATCACTTGAAATGTAAGAAATGTCGCACAAATTCTGTTGTAGCCAGAAATGGTCGACAACTATACAGTATGACAGACTTAGGAAAGAAGCAAACGTAATCTGCAGTTTAGACTGAGCGGCTGGATTAAATACCTCTTATCCAGGTTGCTGGCTCTTACAGCCGCGAAAACCCGTGTCTTCAAAGTCAGTCCTGCCATGGGGATGGACAGCTGCTGAATGTACGATGAGTCCTGGACATAAACCACAATAACATTATTATCTGGTGTGTGTCATCCTTCTTTGGAAATTGTTGGAATTATAGACTTAAAAAGTGCAGGTTAAGAATCTATATAGCTGATGAGCTTCTTGTGTATTATACATGGCTTGTTGAACAGGTCCAGGTCTTCTGTGAACTTACGTTGTAAAGCAGTAGATTCAATGTGCTGATGAAAGTACCGTTGCTCTCCTTCACTGAGATGGCAGCAGCTGACCTTCAATCAAGATTAAAAGAAATATATTTACATCAAAGGTGCTGAATAGATTTTGAAAAGTGAGTCCAGTATTTCAGATGACAATATTTCAAAATAATTCTAGATTTTATTTTACTTGTTTATCACATTATTAATAACAAAGAACAAACATTAAACTCTGTCACTTTACTGTGTTCAGCTACTGACATACGTAGACTTCCACAGTCTCTTCAGTTTCTTCTGAGCCATAAAGCCTATAGACAAGCCTTTACAATTTAGAACTTGAAAGAATTACTTAAAATCAATCAAACATTTCATAACCATACCTGCCATTACTGTGTACACCAGCTCTGGAAAATTATTCCCCTACCAGATCCACTGACATTACAAAAAGCTAAAAACTTTAGAAGCAAGATAACTTCAGATGTATGAAACGTGACAGAACTAAAACACGATAGTCCCAGAACTTGTGTGAAGCTGAGAATCAAGCTATTTTGACCCTGTTGTCTCTACATGCATCATACCTAGACTGAATATTTTATACATCCTGGGGTTGGCGGGGACCCAACAGAAATCATTCAGCTATTTATTTTTATTTATTTTATTTTGGTGTTTTTCTACTATGCTGTGCAACCATTCTGCATTAAAGTGAAGTCGTTTGTCCTTTGCATGTACTTCAGCTGCCAAACCTGCTCCTTGATGACTTCCTCGGTCAAAGATTTAAAAATTCACGACCACCAACAGCTAGTTTGGAAGCAGTCGTGTGAGAGAGACTTACGAGGCCAGCTGTGTGTTGTTGACCAGGTATTCCAGGGGGTAGCTGCAGCTGAACTTGTACAGCAGACCCGGCAGGTAGCTGATGATAGTTGGGGGGTCTGGCGTGTCGATATACCCCGATATGTTTCCAATTTGTACCAGGGACAGGTTCCCGTAAGCGTTGGGTCCTTGAGCTGTGGACACCTGCAGCAAACAATATGAGAGTGATTAAAACACGTCCTCTGCTGGCTTGGTGGCAGACCTCTATCTTACTATGGTCACACCGGACCGAACCTCACTAATCCCCAACCTAAACCCTGTTTACTGGAGAACAGATCTTTCAGGGAAAACTGTCTGTAATGCATGGATTCACAGTCTTAAATGATCAGATCCCTGAAGTAAAATTACATCTTAAATGTCAGTATTTTCTGGAAAAAAAAAGTTAAAATCCATAATCAACGGTTTGCAGTCGGAGAGACGCTCTCTAAAACTATTTCTTGTTATTATTATTATTATTTTACCATTCCAGTTATTCTTACCACCAGGGAATTACCACAGGACTCCAGCGTCGCCAGGCTGATACTAAAGATCACAACGGTGGGAAAGGTATTGTTATTGATGAATCCTCTGCAGTGGGCGTCTCCATGGCGACCATTGAGGGCCAGGTCGGAGTCGGTGTAGCCAGAGAAGAGAACGGGGCAGAAGTTGATTTTGAGGGTGATGGTCTGAACCCCACAATACACACTGATATCCCTCTCCGCTGCAAGAGACACGCACACACACACACACACACACACACGAGTAAATACAGGCACATGAAATGAGCCACAAAGTCATTTTGTTATGTTGGTGAGATACGTCTCTCTTTTCTTTTTAGAGAATAAATAACTTTGGTCTTGTGTTCAATTTAGATTTTGTTCCTAAAAGTTGAGGTTTTTGTGAGAAAGTATGTTTTAAGCAGAAGTGCAGCTCTGGGACTACAGTCTACAATAAAAAGTTCATTTTTATTCCCATCAGGTTATGAACTGTTGCGGGACAAACATGCTAATATCACCTATTCTGAATTTGTAGCTTGTCTGACAACACATCTCCTTCAAAAAACATATTATAATTTTTATCCATTAATTCTGAAACAAAAAAGCGTTAATCCGTGTCTGCAGCTTTGAGTTCCTTACCAGGGAAGCGGCTGTGAAAGTTGGCGTCACAGTTGTATCCATTGAACTGAGCTTCAACTGAAAAGGTCTTACTAAACAGTAGAAGAATCAATAATATATGTTCCATTTCAGCACCTGGAACGGGACAAGAAGGTAGTGTAAGAAATTCAGCCGATAAGTTTCACCTGTCGCCAAAGAAAATCAATCCTTTAAAAGTGGGTAAACAGAAATGTTTAATTATGTTCAAAGCCAAAGATATTCTTTTACAAACATGCTGATGTCAGAGGCAAAGTTTTCTATAATCCTCTAACAGTTTATGTCTTTCATAACGCTGCCAAACACATTTAAAACAGTCAAACATCAAGTTAAATGAGGTCCGAGCACATGCAGCTTTTATGCCAAAGTTATAAGAAGTGATGCTTTAAAATATACTACAGTCACTTCATCTATTACAAAGCCTTATGCATGTCTGTGTGTCTGACTTACTGACCTGTGAAAAGCTTTTGTCACATGATCATTGTCAGTCAGAAATACAGGGACTCAGGTCTGAGGAAGCTAAAATTTAATTATATGAATTGCAGCAATTTTCTACCAGATTGTGTCGGAGATAAAAAAAAGACAGACTGTTGGTCTATAAGAGGCAGAACCACTCACCCTGGTTCCTGGAAGCCAGCAAGTCAGCGGTTCTCCATAAGCTTGGGACAGACGATGGAATGGTCCGCACAGCATCCCTACCCGACTACTAGAAACAGGAGTCGGGCGCAGGGGGGAAAAAGGGATCCTACACATAAGAGATTCATTATTTGAACATGTCAACAAAAAAGGGCTGTCCAGAGCGAACATGGGAAAGTCCATCAAATCTGAATGTGTTATACAAATCCTTTCACGTCTGTAGAAACATGAGCAGGTTTTAAAGTTTCCCACTCATATCCTTTCGGTCCAATCTGGCTCTGTCACTGCTCACAAATGGTTTGACGCCGCATGAGGTGGGGGGGAGAAAATTATCTTTTCATCGCTGCTGTGGACCTGGCCTGCTGACTGAGCCGTTCCTTTCTCCACAGGCCAGTCGGGGAGTGCAGGGACCTGCCACACAGGCCCTTGGCCCCTGGAATCCACACTTTTGGTGCTTTGTGTACAGCAGTTCTCAGTCAGCACAGCAGCAGGCAATCTGCTCGGTGGGGCTGCGAGCTGCTGCCGGCCTCCTACCTGATGCCCAAACTTTGATTCCTGGTCACAGGACTCCCACCACATAAAGAGGCCAAAGCAAATGAAAGCAAAGTTCTTAGAGTTTCAGGGGATCAGTCAGACCCTGTTCCAGCTTCTATATGGAAAGCAGTGCATGTGATGGCTGTGCAGACAGGAGACACCCAGGGATTTTATGAATGTAGAATATGAGATGAAAGGAGTTAAAGTTTCCAGCAAACGTCTCAGTTAAGGTCCAACGGAAAAAGACAGAAGCACTTGTTTGGTTTCTGTGTCGTGATCATTTGAACTTCCATTCATTACATTTATTTCTTGTTTAGATCGCTCAGGCTAGCTTCAGTAAAGGTTGGTCTCTGTGGCAGCTTCACGGCAATCTGGTCGTAAAAACTATATAGAGTATTTAACATTGTACTTTACTAAATTCATCGGAGCACATTTTAGTTGTAATCCGCCCTTACCTTGTTTGTCTCGCCTCATCAAAAGTATCTTTGGTTTCCCCGTCAGTTCTTCAACGATTAACCATGTTTTTATAACCATTGTCCGTGGCTGCTGAAGCAGAATATGGGACATTGTAGTCCACAGGCTCTTTCTGTATAAAACATCTCACTGAAGCCAATACAAGCCGATGGACCGCACCGGCTCTCTGCAGCTCAAGGTATCCATGAGCACTGAGAGTTGGGGAAAGGCAGCTTCTAATTTGTAAGGACTTGCTAATCCAGATGAATTGTAATTATGAGAATCTTGGCCAAGAACTGAGATAGTACTTTGCTTCACTGCGAACTGATAACCATCTAGAGCGCCCCAGCTCCTCAATTATCCAGAACACATCTCGACACTCTATAGGCCTGATAGTAAGATCCAGTGTTCTTATCAGTCCAAGAGCATCCGAGTCAAAAGAACACGATGATCATAGAGTCCAGAGACGCCGTTTGGAACCTTTCATCACTTTGCATAAAGAGATAAATCGACATTATCTCCTTATGGCTGAATTCTGAGACTACGTGAGCGTATGCTTTCCATGGGCGACCTGTGGTTCAAAGCTGCTCGTTTTATGGAAAAAAGGGAAATTATACATTTTCTTGGCAAAAGGGATCAAAGCAATGCATGGAGGTTATTAAACAACTTAAACTAACAGCTAGTTTTATCAGTGTTGAGGTTTTACTCTGGTTTGAACAAAGAAACAAGCAGCTATCTTCATATAACCGGAGGAACACAATGCAACAAAAGTCAATTCACCTTCAATCATTTTTAAATGCTTTGAGCGTCTACCTTTGTTATAATGACAGACTCTGCCGTCCTCGACATGGATGATACCAGAGTCCAGAAGTTTCTAGACAGACGCTCTACCATTCTTCACAGTTTTTGCCCTTTGCTGGAGCGGTTGTGTGGTTCTGATTTCTCTTTTAATTACCCCAATGTGTTCAATTGGATTCAAGCCAGTGGACATACTTGTCCAGGTCATAGTTTTCACTTTTTGTCTTTAGAAACTCTTATACAGTGGCTCTGTCAGTCCTAAGAAGATGAAACCACATTCACACCTAACCATAGAAGAACCTAACGAACCCCGTTGTGTCAGGGGGAGCACTAACGACCCACATAACGAGGAGGAGGAGCAACAAACCCCCAACTGAAACCAAAACTCAGTGCTAATGACTCGTTAAGGATATAAGTATCTGGAACTCCCAACTAGTCAGTCAGGACTGATGAAGCCTCTTGGATGAGAGGTTCAAGGAACTCAAGCAAATCCAGCTGCTACTATTAATCCACGAGAATCTTACACAGTGGTGGCATTATGGTCTGTCCATCACACTGTCTGAGCTGCCACAGGAACTCATTGATAACCGCTGTGTCAGAACCAGACTGTGCAGATAGTTCCCTGTTCATGACGTCATTTTTGGAGCTCTGATTAGTGCTACTACGGCTCCTTCTGGACCTCCTGATTGCAGCTGCATCTGATTTTTTTGTTGGTCCCTGATCTGTCTGAATCCCTTTTCATCTTTCTGAAGTCTTACAATTCCACTTTTCAGTTCCTTTGGAAATTCTCTCCCATGTGGAGCTATCACATTTATATTTACCTCTGTGGCATAACATTTCTACTTTGGTGCCTGTATTGTCAGTTTAGTCTTCCTGCAGTTTTTGTTTCTGATTGTTAATGAGAGCAAATTCAAGATTCAAGATTAACTTTATTGTCCCAGGTGTGGGAAATTTGTCTCGGGCTATTTCACCCACGCTGCAGCCAACACAAGCAGACACAGACAGGAAAATACAATTAATAGAGAGAATAAATAAATAACTAAATACATGCATACATCAAACAAAAGCAGAATGAAACACATACTCTAGTCTCATTTCATGAGTCCAAAGTCCAAAACTCTTTCCTTGTCAACTTGAACATAACACACTGTCTGAGTGATTCTGCACAGCGGCGTCCTCACCTCTCCAGTACACTCTGTTATACACTGTACCAGTGACAGACACTGTTTCCGTCTTTCACATGTGGATTTTATCATTTTAACATGAAAGTGCTGAATAGGGTTAAATGATATGCTTTTGAGCAGCCATGATATCTGTCAGCTGCAATCACACAGCTCCTACAGGCTGATTGATTGAGGTTTTTCCTTTTCTGTATCTACAACACTAACTCTATTTGCATCATCTACTCTGGCCTGCCCTTTGTAGTGCTCCCTTGAGTTTTAAATCATTGAGCAGGTGTCATATAGGTGACCCGTTGCTGCACATCATTAGCTACAGGTGCTACCAGTTCCATGTGCTAACCTGCACGTCTAAAAACCGAGCACCACTGGGCAGCTCTGCCTTTTGCCTGGAGGAAAATAATGTCCTTCAGCCACAGCAACCAGAAAGTTAGACCTGCTGATAGGACAATAAACTGGAGCTGCTCTTGTGGACGACATTTTCAACTCACTTGATAAAAGTAATTTGGTGCTTTTGATTCTATTGATCATTATATTGTTGTTGTTTTTTTTTTAACTACGTAGGTTTTGATCCTTTTCATTACAGCTGGTTCAGATCTTTCTGAAGCGCTTCAGCTTGACGGATGATTGGTCAGTTCAGTTTAGGTGACCCAAATGACTGATCATAATATTCCTAATGGAGCAATATTAGGACACCTGCTATTTAGTCTATACAAACATACATTCTATTTATTTTTCAACTCAACATATATAATAACATTATTATCATCCATCCATCCATCATCTATACACCACTTAATCCTCACTAGGGCTACACTTAGAGACACACAACCACTCACATTCACACCTACGGACAGTTTAGAATCACCAATTAACCTCAACATGTTTTTGGACCTTGTGGGAGGAAGCCAGAGAACCCGGAGAGAACCCACGCTGCACGGGGAGAATATGCAAACTAGTAGCAGTAGTAGTAGTAGTAGTAATCGTAGGAGCAGTATTAGTAGTCGTAGTTTTTTTACACTCCATTACTCCAAACAGACAGATTGTATGTCAGAGTACAAGGGTCTGATGTCCACGCTCTGGATTTTTTTTTTTTAGCACTGTATAACTTGCATAGTTCATTTAGTCTAGGTTAAAGCTATTTTTAAGTTGTTCTAAAACTCTGAAATGAATAATCTTGTTCTCAACTGGAGACATTCATCCTGCTCAACACTTTCACCATAATTATGATGATGAAGTAAATAAGAGGACTGATTCCACTGCAACTTCTTTTTACAGTTTAGGATGACATTATTGCTGCATTTCATAATTAATATGCCACCTTGCTGCCTCAAAGAGAAGTTAAACTGAATCAACATCTAGTATTAGTAGTGTAAGTATTTGTATTTTATGTACTGCATGTATTTAGCTAGCAGAGACAATAAACACATTTAACTGAATACTCCTTTGTCATGATGTTCTGATCTTATGACAATCACAGACGTTAGAGTGA